TGCATACAAGAAACACACCTCACCCTCAAAGACAGACATTACCTGAGAGTTAAAGGTTAGGAAAAATTTTTTCAATCAAATGGACCCAAGAAACAAGCAGGGGTAGCAATCCTAATATCTAACAAACTAGACTTTAAAATAAAATCAATCAAAAGAGATGAAGGAGGTCATTACATACTCAGCACAGTAGAAACCCACCAAGATGAAGTGTCTATCCTGAACATCTATGCCCCAAATACAAAGGCATCCACATTCGTTAAACAAACATTATTAGAACTTAAATCTCATCTAAAGCCCCACACAGTTATAGTGGGAGATTTCAACACACCACTCTCACCACTAGACAGGAATACCAGACAGAAACTCAACAAAGAAGCAAAGGATCTAATAGAAGTAATGACCCAACTGGGATTAACAGATATCTATAGAACATTTCATCCACATAAAAAAGAATATACCTTCTTCTCACCACCACATGGAACCTTTTCAAAAATCGACCACATACTTGGCAACATATCAAACCTCAGCAGCTACAAAAAAATTGGAATAACTCCAGGCATCTTATCAGACCACCATGCTTTAAAATTAGAATTCAACAACAACACAAATTGCAGAAAACCTACAAACTCATGGAAATTGAATAATACTCAACTGCACCATCCCTGGGTCAAAGAGGAAATAAAAAAAAGAAATTAAAGACTTCCTCGATTTCAATGAGAATGAAGACACAACATACCCAAACCTATGGGACACTTTGAAAGCAGTGCTACGGGGGAAGTTCATAGCACTAAGTGCTCACATGAAGAAACAGGAGAACAGTTATACCAGAGAATTAACATCACAGCTGAAAGCACTAGAACTACTCCCAAGAGGAGTAGACGCCAGGAAATAATCAAATTGAGGGCTGAAATCAACAAAGTAGAAACCAGGAAAACAATACAAAGAATCAACCCAACGAAGAGTTGGTTCTTTGAGAAAATCAACAAGATAGACAAACCTTTATCCAAACTTACCAAACAGCAGAGAGTGAATATGCAAATTAACAAAATCAGAAATGAAAAGGGGGGGCATAACAACAGACTCTGAGGAAATCCAGAGAATCATTAGGTCATACTTTGAAAACCTGTACTCCACAAAATTCGAAAATTTAAAGGAAATGGATGACTTCCTGGACAGCTATCATTTGCCAAAACTAAATCAAGAACAGATAAGCAATTTAAATAGACCTATAACCCCTATGGAAATAGAAGCTGTCATCAAAAGTCTCCCAACCAAAAAATGTCCAGGTCCAGATGGCCTCAGTGCAGAATTCTACCAGAAATTCAAAGAACAGCTTATACCAATTCTTCTCAAAGTGTTCCACACAATAGAAGCAGAAGGGTCTTTGCCAAACTCTTTCTATGAGGCTTCAATAACCTTGATCCCCAAGCCACACAAAGATACAACTAAGAAAGAGAACTTCAGACCAATATCCCTCATGAACATTGATGCAAAAATACTCAATAAAATACTGGCAAATCGGATCCAAGAACACATCAAAACAATCATTCACCACGATCAAGTAGGTTTCATCCCAGGGATGCAGGGATGGTTCAACATACGAAAATCCATCAACGTAATCCACCCTATAAACAAGCTGAAAAACAAAAATCGCATGATCATCTCACTAGATGCTGAAAAAGCCTTTGACAAAATCCAACACCCCTTCATGATAAAGGTCTTGGAGAGATCTGGGAGAACAGGGACATACTTAAACATAATAAAAGCTATATACAGTAAACCAACAGCCAACATCAAACTAAATGGACAGAAACTCAACGCAATTCCTCTAAAATCAGGAACAAAACAAGGCTGTCCACTCTCTCCATACCTTTTCAACATGGTACTTGAAGTTCTAGCTATTGCCATACGACAACAAAGGGGGATCAAGGGGATACAAATTGGGAAGGAAGAGGTCAAACTTTCACTGCTTGCAGATGATATGATAGTTTACATCAATGACCCAAAGAACTCTACCAGGGAACTCTTACAGCTGATTAACACCTTCAGCAAAGTGGCAGGCTACAAGATCAACTCAAGAAAATCAGTAGCCCTACTATATACAGATGATAAAAGGGCTGAAAGAGAAATCAGAGAAACATTACCCTTTACAATTGCCACAAACAACATAAAATACCTTGGGGTAACACTAACCAAACAAGTGAAAGACCTGTATCGTAAGAACTTTGAATCTTTAAAGAAAGAAATTAAAGAAGCCCTCAGAAAATGGAAAGATGTCCCATGCTCTTGGATAGGTAGGATCAATGTAGTAAAAATGGCAATCCTGCCAAAAACAATCTACACATTCAATGCAATCCCCATTAAAATCCCAGCACAATTCTTCACAGACCTTGAAAGAACAATAATCAATTTTGTATGGAAAAACAAAAGACCCAGGATAGCCAAAACAACCCTGTTCAACAAGGCAACGTCCGGAGGCATCACCATCCCTGACCTCAAGCTCTATTATAGAGCTATAGTCCTGAAAACAGCTTGGTATTGGCACAAAAATAGACAGGTAGACCAATGGAATCGAATTGAAAATCCGGGTATTAACCTACACACGTACGAACATCTGATCTTTGACAAAAAAGCTAAAAATATACAATGGAATAAAGAAAGCATCTTCAACAAATGGTGCTGGCATAATTGGAGACTGGCATGTAGAAGAATGCAGATCAATCCATGTTTATCGCCATGCACAAAACTTAAGTCCAAATGGATCAAAGACCTCAACATAAATCCAGCCACACTGAACCTCTTAGAAGACAAAGTGGGTGGTACCCTTGAACGAATTGGTACAGGAGACAGCTTCCTGAACATAACACCAGTAGCACAGACAGTGAGATCAACAATTAATAAATGGGACCTACTGAAACTGAGAAGCTTCTGTAAGGCAAAGGACACAGTCAGCAAGACAAAAAGGCAGCCCACAGAATGGGAAAAATATTCACTAATCCCACATCTGACAGAGGGTTGATCTCCAAAATTTACAAAGAACTCAAGAAGCAAGTCTCCAAAACACCAAAGGACCCTATTAAAAAGTGGGCTGCAGAACTAAATAGAGAGTTTTCAATAGAGGAGTCTAAAATGGCTGAGAGGCACTTGAGAAAGTGCTCAACATCCTTAGCCATCCGGGAAATGCAAATCAAAACAACTCTGAGATACCATCTCACTCCTGTCAGAATAGCTAAAATCAAAAACACCAATGACAATTTATGCTGGAGAGGATGTGGTGAAAGGGGGACACTCTTCCATTGCTGGTGGGAGTGCCAACTGGTTCAGCCACTTTGGAAATCAGTATGGAGATTCCTCAGAAAAATGGGAATAAACCTACCACAAGACCCAGCAACTCCACTCTTAGGCATATATCCAAAAGATGCCCATTCATACAACAAAGATGTCTGTTCCACTATGTTCATAGCAGCTTTATTTGTAATAGCCAGAACCTGGAAGCAACCTAGATGTCCCTCACCCGAAGAGTGGATAGAGAAAATGTGGTACATCTACACAATGGAGTACTATTCAGCAGGAAAAAAAATAATGGAATCATGAGATTCGCAGGCAAATGGATGACACTAGAAGAAACCATCCTGAGTGAGGTAACCCAGTCACAAAAAGAGAAACATGGCATGTACTCTCTCATATATGGATTTTAGACATAGATCTGGGGAGTGCCAGCCTACAATCCTATGGCCAGAGAGTCTGGGAAACAGAAACTTTATTTAGTGGCTGATCGAAGAAGAGGCAGACTCCCTTGGTTAAGTACTGAGCTGAACTCAAGAAAGCCAGTAACAGAGAGGGAGGACTGATGATCAAAGGGATTAAGACTGGGCTGGTTTAACCCCCAGAAACAGCTGACCAGACAAAGGTTAACTCTTGAATCCCAGGCATCAGCCTGGGAATCCAGCATGGGACTGATCAAGACCCCCTGAATCTGGGTGTCAGTGAGGAGGCCTAGGGAATCGATTGAGCCTTGGGCAGCAGATCAGTACCCATCCCAAGTATACACACGGACTTTGGACTCCCATAGAACAATGTGAGGTGCACTCTCACCCTGAACTCTCGGGGAAGGGTCTAGGCCCTGCCCTATATGAAATGACAGACTGTGGACACCCCCATGGAGGGCCTCACCCTCCCTGGGGAAATGAGGGGATAACGGGGGTGGGAGGGGGTTGGGGGGAGGGCACGGGAGGAGGGGAGGGAATGGGAGAGGGACCTGGAACTGACTTGTGAAGCAACCTTGTTTCTTATCTAAATTTAAACTGGAAAATAAAATTTAAAAAAAAAGATAAAAGGAAATGAAAGAGAAAGGGAAGCTCTCTTCTCCTCTTCTCGTCTGGAAGCTGCCATGCTTTCGGTCCTCTCATCTTGTGTGTGAATAAATATATTATATTCTATATTGCATTGACCTCCTACGCCATTAAAGTATCTCAGTTTTCTTTCTATGGACACAAGTGAACCCCCACCCATGCTGTGACATCTTCAACAAACCCCACAGAAGAGGGAGAGGAAGGATTGTAGGAGCCAGAGAGGTGGGGGGTACCAGGCTGCACACATGTTCTAGTCGTGTAGCTTGGTGTTCTTGTGGGACTCCTCACAGTGGGACAGGAGGTGTCTCTGACTTTTTCCCCTGCTCCTGGGAGCCTTTTCCTCCTACTGGGTTGCCTTGGACAGCCTTGATATAAGGGTGTGTGCCTAGTCTTACTGTAACTTGTTATGCCGTGTTCAGTTGATATCCCTGAGAGACCTGCTTCTTTTTGGAGGGAAATAGAGGAGTAGATCTGGGAGAGAGGGGAGGTGGGGAAGAGAAGCGGAGGAAGGGAAAAACTGCAGTTGTGATGTATGTATGAGAGAAGAATAAATGGAAAGAAAGAAAAAGAGAGAGGAAGGAAGGGAGGAAGGAAGAAAGAGAAAAAAATTTATGTGGAACCATTACACTAATAAGCACATTAACTCACCTTTTGAGCAGTTCAACTCTGTGTAAGTTAGATCTTCTATAGCATTTTTTTCTTCAAGAAGTTGAGAGTACTTTTGAAAATAAACTATAAAACAAACAAAAATCAGAACCCAAACCACTCATTTTCATGAAATAATTGTGGCTTTCTACTCTGTACTTAATGGTACGCAGATCTATTAAGTCCCGATGACCTAAGCAGACAGAACCTGACTAGGATTCCCATCACCCCTCTGTCAATGAGTCCTCAGCTTCCTATTTTGAAACCACAGGTACCTCCAAGACAAGCGATTTAAAACGTAGGATGGACCGATTGTCATGACTCTAAAGGGAGTGAGCCTTACCCTTTAATGCTTAATGTAAGATGAAAATGCCAACTCTTGCGGGAGATGAAGCAGACATAGATACTCATATTTAAGGGTATAAACTGCCTTGGCTTTGGGCGGAAAGGGTGGTGTTAACTAATCCTGAGCATCTCTAGGTTACTTTGGAATATTAAACAAAAAAGAACCCAACATATTTGAATGGAGCGTTGTCTTCTTCCCCAAACTCTCTTTGTTTTGAACAACTTACTCCTCCACACCCATGCTCTCTCTCCCTCCAGGCTTAAAGCTTCCTGGCTTCTCTCTGGAACTGAGTTTCTTCTTCACTTGACTCCCTGTGTCTTTATCCTCCTCACCCCACCACTTCTGCTGCCTCTGTTTCACTAACACCAAGTTTGAAATGGATCATCAGTAATATCCCAGGGCACTTATCAGCCATCTTGCTATTGGACTTGACCCCAGTTCCCCCTCCTCATCAATGAAGACATTGCTCTGTCCTGGCTGTGCCTCACCTGTTTGCCTCCTATAATCTCTTCTCCCTCCATCCACCCCTTTAAAGTGTCACACTTCTTACAGTCTTGTCATTATGCTTCCTCCTCGAGCAAAGTCTTCCCAAGTGATGTCATTTTTGCTGTGGTCTTGCCTACTGCCTATATGTGTGGGATTTTGTGCTCACTGAACACAAACATATTAGGTTTTACTCAATATGCTCAAATATCAAATCAACACCTACCAACTTAAACCTATAACTTACTGTACATTTTACTTCCTGGAATAACTTCATGGTTGCTGAGTTTACATCATCAGAATATTAAGGTCACACTATACTTCTTGGACCCCTTAATCCCTGGATCTCAGTAGTCATCAATCATCTATTTCCTTGGTCCTAAGCTCTTTACCATGGAAACCTCCTCCCCTTGTGTTATTCACTTATTACCAAGTTATAATTGACCTTCTCATTTCTTTCTTTGTCTTAATGACCCTATTTTCAGATTCCTGTAAAATCACCATCTATAACCTAAATTTAGCTACATCAATTCTCTATTTGAAATGATGCAATGGTTCTCCATAGTTGTGATGCTTTGCAAAAAAATGACCACAAATTTTAACTTCTGTATTCACACATTGCAACGTGGTTTTGAAATTTTTCCAGTTAACAAAAAAAAGAAAAGAAAAAAGGTAAAGTCTTATGTGTGAGATGCCTCCTAGACTTCTTTGACCTTGAGAATGTACAAAATCAACTCTGACCTACTAGTAAATTAAATTTTTTAAGATTTACTTATTATATATACAGAATTGTGCCTGCATGTATGCCTGCAGGCCAGAAGGGGGCACCATGTCTCATTACACATGGCTGTGAGCCACCATGTGGTTGCTGGGAATTGAACTCAGGGCCTCTGGAGGAGCAGCCAGTGCTCTAAGCCTCTGAGTCATCTCTCCAGCCCTCATGTTAAATTTTTTGAGAGGCCTGGCTCGTGGTCACCTTCACTCTTGGAAGTCTGAAAGCTGCTATGTAAACAAGCCCAGACCATCCTAAGGAATCATATAAAGGTGGGTCATACTGTTAGTCGTTCCAGCTGGCCTCCTCCTCTCAGAAGCTGAGGTGCCTGGACTGGTAACTGACCACATACACATGCCTAAGTTCAGCTAGGGCCAGAGGAACCAGTCAGTGGAGATCAGCCTAAATTGCCATGCCATAGAAGCATAAGATAAATAAGACATTGTCTTGGCCCATTAAGTTCATGCTGATGTATTAATCAGAAAAACATACTCGATAAAAGAATATTATTTAGAAGAAAAAGTTAAGTTTTTCATAAAGGGGCACAACACATGCTCTGTATCCTGCTGTCTGCCAAAGAAATATCATTTCTTCTTCACTTACACTGTCTCCACCTCAGTGACATTCTGAGTACACACAGTTCTAGATGTCACCTCTTCCAGGAAATCTATGTCATCACAAGACTTCCTGGACAATGTTGCGGACAATAGACCGTTTTTTCTTCATTTTTTTAGACCCAGAGATGTTAGCTCCACACTTGCTGTCCTCCTATCTCAACATCCTAGGTAGATGGGATAATAGGAGTGTGCCACTGTACCTAGCTAGCACTGGTTCATTGACTTTCCTCTAAGATTCTGGAGAACAGAGTCCCTGTTTTTCCTGGACTCTGTCAGACTCACCTCATGACAAAGAGTAAATGGCTACTACTTGATACTGACCAATCAAATGAAAGAGTAAACCCTTCTAAATATACTAGTTAGCATGCATTTTAAATTTTTCAGATATTCTCAAATTTTTGGTGAGCAGAAATCTACCTATTTGCTCAATTGGCTTCTAGCTTTCACATAATCTCAGGCAGAACAGAATCAATTAGGAATTAGCTGGAGAACACTTCTTGGATAATTTCTTCCTAGCTCCTCCTTATCCACACACTCATCCCAAGATGAAGGAGCCCTATACACATACAGCTTGTATACACACACAGAGCTTGTAAACACACACAGTTTGTATACACACACACAGTTTGTACTCACACACAGTTTGTATGCACACACAGCTTGTATACACACAGCTTGTAAACACACGCAACTTGCATACACACACAGCTTGTATGCACACACAGCTTGTATACACGCACAGCTTGTATGCACACACAACTTGTATACACACAGCTTGTAAACACACACAGTTTGTATACATACAGCTTGTAAACACCCACAGTTTGTATACACACACAGCTTGTAAACACACACAGTTTGAATATACACACACAGCTTGTATACACACACAGTTTGAATATACACACAGTTTGTATACACACGCAGCTTGTACACACATAGCTTGTAAACACACACAATTTGTATACACACACAGCTTGTATACACACACACAGCTTGTATGCACATGCAGTTTGCATAATCACACAGCTTGTATACACACACACACAGTTTGAATATACACACAGCTTGTATACACACAGAGACTGTATACACACACATAGCTTATATACACATGCAGCTTGACTTCTCAATGCCAATTAGAAAATATAGATTTGCATCCCACTCTAACAAAGACAACACCCCACATGCTTCACTCCACAATCCCACATGTACTCATAAATGTACTTCAGTTTCTCTAATGAGAGTGGATTCCCCTGTTTTCTCAAGACAATAGCTAAATTTAAGGACAAAGTAAAAGTCATAATGTAATCTCTTGAATTATTTTCCCCAAAGAATATTTCTTCATATTCTGTTAAATTCCAAGTGCTACAGTGGAATGTCCCTTCACCTAAGGCAGACATTGCCTGGTGGTTCCTTTGGGATACTTACAGATAAAAGCAATTAAAAATGAGATAGCCAACAGCAGGAAAAGTGCCATCAAAGATGTAAAAAGCAGCGAGGGGCCACCAGGCTTGCTCAGATGAGGGGTGGGCTTCACTTCGGGGGCTGAAGGGAGAATCACATGTGTCTCATGAGAAATAAGTTCCATCCTTGTTTTTGTTTCTCCTCCCTTCTCATTTGCCTTCTCTCACCACATAATTACTAACAGTGTGGACACTTAAAATAATAAAAAAATAATGTCCAATGTAAAAATACTACAAAGTACATAAAAGCACACACTTACACCGTTGGAATGACTGGTCTTAGCATTTTGAGATCTGAAAATAATTTGAATATATTTTCACAAAACACTTTGATCTTATATTTCAGCAAGTTTTTTGCTTGTTTGTTTTTTGGTTTTTTTTTTTTTTTTGGTGGTGATGGTGATGGGAGGTGTAATGAGCTAGGGTCTCACTGTGTAGACCAGGATGTTCTGGAACTCATTATGTAGATCAGGCTGGCCTCAGATCCTCAGTGATTCTCCTGCCTATGCCTCTGGGGTGCTGGAATTACACTGGCCCTTCCAGAAAATTTTAAAGGATGCACATATATTATGCTTTCCCACATGGCAAAACAACAAAAATACTCCTGTCTGGCATATGACTTTTCTTCTACACATTATAAGTACATTTTCATGTCAACATGTTTTCTTGGTGTCCTTTAATGTGGTTGCAGCACGATATATTCAAATAACTTCCAGACTATCCAAATATTAAAGATGCATATACAATGAGAGATAAGTATTTCTTTAGCATAAATTCAATCTGCTAGTCACAATCTCAGGGCTGGAAACCATTTTCTAGTTGAAGGTATAGTCCAGAGGCAGAGCAACTGCCTACTGAGGGAGAACCTCTGCTTGGATATATATCATAAAAGAAAAAGCTCCTTCAAGATAAAAGTTCCAAACACAGCAGCAGTTTTCACAAAGTTACAATGTACTGTCAAGCATAGAGGGGGAAAACTCAATATTGAAAAGTGTGATTTCATTTTATATTCATTTTTATGTAGCAGGAAATGCTATATACAAGATAAAATAATTTCAGTAAATGGCAAAAGCTAAAACCACACCAAGAAAGATTTTCCTTCCCACTAGACAACACTACAACTCTTTAAGTCACTCTACAAACAATTCAATCCACTATGACTCCAGTAAAATCCCAGACATGAGCACTCAGAGAATTAGTAACCAACATCACCCCAAGTTTATTAATGACCCTTCCCTTATCTTTCCCACTACATTAAGTCCAGATTTTTTTTTACCTGCAGCAGAATTTAAGTAGGTGCCTGGGGTGATGGATTCATTCTTGAACTTCACTTCTGCATACGTGATTTCTGAAGCCATATCAAGAAAAGACCTGCCTCCCTCAGAAAATGCACCTCGTCTCCTCCCTAAAACTCTTGGTATGTGAGAACCAAACGCAGCAATAAGTTGTCATATCACACAACCGTATAAGAGAATAGGATTTCCTGCTGGGATACACCACATGAGGATGAGATACCACAACACGGAATCACTCGGGCTACATACAGAGATGAAACATCTTAAAACAAGAAAAAAAATAATTGTAGCGTTCAAGCCTACTCAGCACGATATGCAAATACTATAGAGTGGGAACTCAAAGCGGGGAAGGAAAGAAACAGGAAGGAGGGAAGAGGAACCAAGCCATTGGAGAACTCTTTCTCAAGACATTCTGCAGCAAACATAAATTCATGCACGAAATAGACGACATGAGCAAACACTTAAGGCACAACAGCATCCGTTTTGGCTGAACGGGCAAGTTCTGGCACAACATTCTAGAAGACCTTTGGCCCCTCACCATCCTGTGGGCTCCCGCATCTCCCTCCGCTGCCTCCATTAGGGGAAGGCAGAACTCACATGCTGTTGCTTCTGAAGCTGCTCCCCTGAGCTCTCTGCTTCCCCATGCAGTTCATAACTCAGTGCACGGGCACTCTCCACTCACTGGCCACATCTGGAAACAGCTCTGGCTAGCAGCTGTGGGAGGAGGCTGTCTCTCTCCTCATGCCTCTCTTCCCAGGATCCCTGCACTGCTCAGCACAAGCTTCATGAGTTCACAGCATTATTGGAAACAATTGGGAAAATTAATGGATCACAATGTACACAAGGAGAAACTTAAACTAGTTGCTAAAAGTGGGATTCCTTGCACAGATGTCTTCCAGCTCATACTCTCATGCTCACCCTTCAGCTTGTCCAAACATTTCCCTTCTTGGAATCTTCTCTGGCTACTTCCATGTTCTTACACATAACAAGCAAACAGAATGTGCATAGACACAGGTGCAGTGTTTGTGTCTCTAGGTTTTCTCTCCAGTTTGTATCCAAACATACTAAAAACCATGGGTTCACACTGTTACCCTCATTTTAACATAATGCCACCACCGGTTCCATTTTATTTCCCAAATTTCAGCATTTCGAACCTACATCTGTGGCTGAAAACATATCTGTGTTCATAATCTCTATCACAGGTTCTCCAGTCATAATCTCCTGGATGCTACCTACCCATCTCCCTTCCATATCCTCCTCTAAGATGCCTGTCCTCCAGGATGGGCTCCAGCACTCAGATCAAGTCTATGGCCCCTGCACTGTTGCCTTCCTCCTTTAGCTGGATATTCCCTCTCAGGGACAGAAACCTTGCTGCAGTTCTCACACAATGACACTAAGATCCCACTTTGACATCCACTGTGTATCCACACTATTTACCCATGCCTGATTTACGCTCTTTCTGTGCCTCTGAATCCCAACCGACTATACAGCCAACACTACGTACTGGCACCCTCCTCACCACACAGGGGTGCCCTCCTCACCCTGCACAGGTGCCTACCCCACTATACACCTATGCCTTCCACTCCATGCATGGTTGCTCTCCTGACTATGCACCTGTGCTTTCTGCACCATGCATAGGTACCCTCCTCACTATGCAGGATGCTCTCCTCACCCTGCATGGGTCTACTCTTCAGTGTGCATGGGTGCCCTCCTCACTATGCACAGGTACTCTCATCACCCAGCATGGGTGCCCTCTTCATCATGCACAGGTGTCCTCCTCACCCTTCCAAATGTCCAGTTACTCCATGAGACCCTCTGCTCACCTGTTTGGAATTCTGGCTTGAGCAGAGACTCCCTACGAGGGACCATGCCAGACTTCCACCCACACTCAAGGCAGAGGGCAGAGTTGAGCTCTGGGTCTCCATCTTAGACCCGAATTCCTCCAGCTTGTCCTCTTTCAGATCTCCTGGCCTGGGGACCACAGCCACGTTGACTAGTCCCTGGACAATCAAGCGACCAGAAGCCTGCAGAGAAAGCCAGTCTACTCCCCCCTCACTCAGGGCAGAGGGAAGAGGACAAAGAGCAGAGAACAGAGAGTATTGGATTTGCTTGCACCTACCAAAAGGGAACCCTGGTTGCCTACCCACCAGGAGAGGAAGAGGCTCTTTCTACACCGAGTGGAAGAAGTGATGGGAAATAGACAATATAAGAACACACTCATCAAGAGAAAAACAAATATGACACCATCAGAGTCTAGAGATTCTACACCAGCAACACATGAACACCCCAATGCAGATGAAGCAGAAGGGAATGACCTTAAAAACAACTTCATGAAAATGATAGAGGCCCTCAAAGAGGATGTGAGAAAATCCCTTAAAGAAATGGAAGAAAAAAACAAACCAAAATTGCAAATCCAACAAATGCAAGAAAGGGAAGAAAACTCAAAGCACAAATTATAAGAAACAATTCAAACAATGCAAGGATTGGAAGCTGACAATAAAAAAACACAGTCTGAAGGAATGCTAGAAATAGAAAAACTGGGGAAACAGTCTGGTACTACAGATGCAAGCATAACCAACAGAATACAAGAGACGGAAGAGAGAATCTCAGGTGTTGAAGACACACTAGGAGAAATACATTCGTTGACCAAAGAACATCTTAAGTCCAACAAATCCCTAACACAAAATATCCAGGAAATATGGGACACCATGAAAAGACGAAACCTAAGGATAATAGGTATAGAAGAAGTTGAAGAAACCCAATTCAAAGGGACAGAAAACATATTCAACAAAATCATAGAAGAAAACTTTCCCAACCTAAAGAAAGACATGTCAATGAAGGTACAAGAAGCTTACCAACTAGAGTAGACCACAAAAAAAGTCCCCTCACCACATAATAATCAAGACCCCAAGCATACATAATAAAGAATATTTAGAGCAGCTAAGAAAAAAGGTCAAATAGCATATAAAGGCAAACCTATCAGAATTACACCAGACTTCTCCATGGAAACTCTGAAAGCCAGAAGGTCCTGGATAGATATTCTATCAACACTAAGAGACCACAGATGCCAGCCCAGACTAGTATACCCAGCAAAGCTTTCAATCAATATAGATGGAGAAAACAAGATATTTCATGACAAAACCATATTTAAACAATACATACCCACTAACCCAGCCCTACAGAAAGTTCTAGAAGGAAAACTCCAATTCTAGGAAGTTAACTACAACCAGAAAAACATAGGCAATAAATAATCCCACTTTACCAACAGCCAAAAAAGAAAAGAGGTGAAAATCCACAAACAATTCCAACAACAACAACCATTCCAAAACAAACAAGAGTGAGTGCTCGCTTCGGCAGCACATATACTAAAATTGGAACGATACAGAGAAGATTAGCATGGCCCCTGAACAAGGATGACATGCAAATTTGTGATCACATGAAAAAGAATATACCTTCTTCTCACCACCACATGGAACCTTCTCAAAAATTGACCACATACTTGGCAACATATCAAACCTCAGCAGCTACAAAAAATTGGAATAACCACATGCATCTTATCAGACCACCATGCTTTAATATTAGAATTCAACAACAGCACAAATTTCAGAAAAGCTACAAACTCATGGAAATTGAATAATGCACAACTGCACCATTCCTGGGTCAAAGAAGAAATAATAAAAGAAATTAAAGACTTCCTAGAATTCAATGAAAATGAAGACATAACATACCCAAACCTATGGGACACTTTGAAAGCAGTGCTATGGGGGAAGTTCATAGCACTAGGTGCCCACATGAAGAAACTGGAGAATAGTTACACTAGAGAATTAACATCACAGCTGAAAGCTCTAGAACACAAAGAAGCAAACTCCCCCAGGAGGAGTAGACGCCAGGAAATAATCAAATTGAGGGCTGAAATCAATAAAGTAGAAACTAGGAAAACAATACAAAGAATCAATGCAATGAAGAGTTGGTTCTTTGAGAAAATCAGCAAGATAGACAAACCTTTATCCAAACTGACCAAACAGAAGAGAGTGAACATGCAAATTAACAAAATCACAAATGAAAAGGGGGACATAACAACAGACTCTGAGGAAATCCAGAGAATCATCAGGTCATACTTTGAAAACCTGTACTCCACAAAATTCGAAAATTTAAAGGAAATGAACGACTTCCTGGATAGCTATCACTTGCCAAACTAAATCAAGAACAGATAAGCAACTTAAATAGACCTATAACCCCTATGGAAATAGAAGCTGTCATCAAAAGTCTCCCAACCAAAAAAAGTCCAGGTCCAGATGGCCTCAGTGCAGAATTCTACCAGAAATTCAAATATGATTTTATACCAATTCTTCTCCAAGTATTCCACACAATAGAAGCAGAAGGGTCTTTGCCAAACTCTTTCTATGAGGCTTCAATAACCTTGATCCCCAAGCCACACAAAGACACAACTAAGAAAGAGAACTTCAGACCAATATCCCTCATGAACATTGATGCAAAAATACTCAATAAAATACTGGCAAATCGGATCCAAGAACACATCAAAACAATCATTCACCACGATCAACTAGGTTTCATCCCAGGGATGCAGGGATGGTTCAACATACGAAAATCCATCAATGTAATCCACCATATAAACAAGCTGAAAAACAAAAATCACATGATCATCTCACTCACTAGATGCTGAAAAGGCCTTTGACAACATCCAACACCCCTTCATGATAAAGGTCTTGGAGAGATCTGGGATGACAGGGACATACTTAAACATAACAAAAGCTATATACAGTAAACCAACAGCCAACATCAAACTAAATGGACAGAAACTCAACGCAATTCCTCTAAAATCAAGAGCAAAATAAGGCTGTCCACTCTCTCCATACCTTTTCAACATGGTACTTGACATTCTAGCCATTGCCATACGACAACAAAGGGGGATCAAGAGGATACAAATTGGGAAGGAATAGATCAAACTTTCACTGTTTGCAGATGATATGATAGTTTATATCAATGACCCAAAGAACTCTACCAGGGAACTCTTACAGCTGATTAACACCTTCAGCAAAGTGGCAGGATACAAGATCAACTCAAGAAAATCAGTAGCCCTAACTATATACAGATGATAAAAGGTCTGAGAAAGAAATCGGAGAAACATCACCCTTTACAATTGCCACAAACAACATAAAATACCTTGGGGTAACGCTAACCAAACATGCAAAAGACCTGTGTCACAAGAACTTTGAGTCTTTGAAGAAATTAAAGAAGACACCAGAAAATGGAGAGATCTCCCATGCTCTTGGATAGGTAGGATCAACATAGTAAAAATGGCAATCTTGCCAAAAGCAATCTACAGATTCAATGCAATCCCCATTAAAATCCCAGCACAATTCTTCACAGACCTTGAAAGAACAATAATCAATTTTGTATGGGAAAACAAAAGACCCAGGATAGCCAAAACAACCCTGTTCAACAAGGCAACGTCCAGAGGCATCACCATCTCTGACTTCAAGCTCTATTATAGAGCTATAGTCCTGAAAACAGCTTGGTACTGGTACAAAAATAGACAGGGAGACCAATGGAATCGAATTGAAAACCCAGATATTAACCCACACACATATGAACATCTGATCTTTGACAAAGAA